GCACCTTGTAGCACTAAACAACATTTAACACTTACCATTCCTTTTTGTTCTTGCTCTGCCACCATAACATAGGAAAAGTTAACTTGCATGTGATTAATATATTTTATGACAGATAAGATTTACTTTTTCAAAACCTGACCCTCAGAAACACCCAACTTTCTAAAAAATGATACAATTGGAAGTTGGGATCTCTGAATTTCTCCAGGTGAAGAGTGAAATAGTTTTGAGAAAATTTGTCTTAATTTTAGTTTCCTAACACATTTCCTTTAAATCTTATTTATACCACAGAATATAATATTTATATTTTAATATCTGTTAACTTTTCTCTCAAAAAATTATTCAGCTTGAAGAGTGTTAATGTAATTTTCAGGCAACATCAGTGAACTTATTTTGAAAGGTTTATAATTATTTTATAAATTAAAATGATACATATGCCAGAAAATGTTCATGTATTATTCTCCCAAAGATTCACTTCAAAAAGAATAAAAATAAAAGAAAAAAAATAAAGCCTATTCAATTTATATATCTTATTAAATATTGAATATATTTTTACTAACAAAATTGATGGAAACAAAAAGCAAAATAATTTAAATAAAATCAGAGAAACGCAAAAGAATTTGAATGAAATCAAATAAAAAGTAAAAGAATTTAAAACAAACACACACACACACATATATATATATATATATATATATATATATATATATATGTGTGAAATTATGATTAAATTTAAAATTTCCAGCTTTGCTTGTTCATGTGCAGTCATATACATAAAAACTTAATCCAGTGAAGTTCTAAAGGATGAAATGTGTCACATTTTGTCACATCCTCCTTCCAAAATTGTTATCACACACACAAACACACACACACACACACACACACATAAATCAGGAGGTCAATTAATCTGCTACCTTGGTTTCATTCTTAGAGTATTCTCATGTGATTTTTTATCAAATGACCAACAATCACAACAATATTTGCAATCTCTGCCAACAGGAAAAATTAGTGATTATGATATTTCTGAATATAAAAAACCTTTTAAACAGAAATCCGAAGTCGTAAGTCCTTGCTGACATATCAGTAAATTTTTCTTAAGTGCAGATGAGGCTGGATAAAAAAAGATATTTAACCCCTACCAATACATTTACAATACACTTGCTTTTCTTCTCTTCCCCATTCTTCTTCTTCCTTCTTCACACCCTCCTCCTCCTCCTCTTCCCTTTCTAATATTATACCCAACGTCATGTGTTTGTTTGTTTATTTTTGAAAATAATAATGTACTGTTCTTTGTTTTTTTTTTTTAAAATAAAAAAGCATTAGGTGGTCATTTTATAAAAATCACCTGAGGATATCATAAACCATGAAAGCAGATTCAACTGACCTACTGATTTTTAAATTTAAAAGATCTACATGTTATTTTTACTTTTATTTTATTTTTTCACAAATGTATTGAGCAGTTTTTAATACTACTGTTTCCTAGTCTGATTCAACTCTGACCATTAACCTTTTATGTATTATATATATATATATATATATATATATATCTTCATGAGTATGGCTATATATATATATATATATATATATATATATATATATATATATATATATATAATGTGTGTCTGTGTGTGATTCATTTCTAAAAAAGAAAAATTAAACAAACATTGAAAAATACAATTTAAATGAGGACAATATATTAAAAAAATAAAAATAAATGACTAAAATCAAGCACAACCTGCTGATAGATGAATCAGAGGTTATTGAAAATACAGATGAATACCATTATGATCACAAGTTCCATAACCCGGGTTGTAAGGGCACCACATGTATTGCAGCCATAGCAGAAGTGGGTGTGTCTTGGGCAAGATAGCCTGACAGAACCCAACCCTCTCCAGGCTGCTTTTGAATTCAGATTTTACCTTCTTCTAGACCAGTTGCCACCCAAGGCTATAGAACCCAGTCTATTCTGTTATTTACCCATAGCTGGTGGGTGAAGAAATGGATATATACCTTTTCCCTAGAGGGTATTCGCATGTAAATGAATATAATGAATTCAGCTGGAATTCAAACTCAGATATCTCCGATTCCTCAATTTCAGCCATCATCCATTACTCCTTTATGAATACCATGCTATAACCAAAAATAAAAGAATTCTTCAATTATTGAAGCATCTGTTATTGATATTAACTAAATTTAGCTTAGTCTAATATAAATAAGGATAAAATGGTGAGTAAAATGATTGTGGAACCAATCTTCCTAGAAACGTAGCAATTTGAAATATTGGCTTTTACCTGGGTCTGAACCTGGACGATTGATACCAGTTGAAAATATCTGTTTCAGATTTGAGACAGACCCAATCAAACATGCAGAAAATAATGATTATATTATTTCATATATAGTGAAGATTCCAAGCATTCTTTTAATCTGATATCTAGAGTTTAAATTTAGAACTCTGGAAACTTTTAACTTTGGTAATGACTTTTAACTGGCTCTGAGAGCAAATTCAATGCAACACTTTTATTCATAGTTCTTATGTTGATTCGTATCATATTTGGATTAAGATAACTGGCCATGTCTGCTCATAGGACGTTGTTTTAAGAAAGGACATTTGAATGGAATGATATCGATAGTTGCTTATTTCTTTTCATCTTCATATTTCTCTTATTTTATTCACAACGGAAATTGTCATAGACTTGATTATTTTATGTATCTATTCATGTGTTTATGAATTTGAAACTTTCTGTATGACATGTGTGTTTCTTTACACTGTTTACATTCAGACTATTCTCCTTATCTTTCTTGTTTTACTCAAAACATTTTGGCTGTTGTCCCTTACGGTCATCTTCAGGTGTCTGATGGCCCAGGTAACCTTCAGGGAATTTTAAACTGAACCCTAAAGCATTGACTGATGCCTGAAGAAGACTGGAGGGCATGACAGCTGAAACATTGTGATAATAACAACAAAGATGAGGACAATAGTCCAAATGTAAACAGTCTAAGTAATGATAACTACACGTTCCAGAAATTGTCGGTTTCTGATTAGAAAAAAAAAAACAATTGAATAAGTTCACATTATTTTGCAAGAGATTAGGACTCAAATAGTTCCGTATTGAAATAAATCATTAATTTACAACCTTGAAAATATCTTTTCTCTTCTACTTAGAGTTTTAATATCTCTAAATACAAATAAATATTTCTGAGAAAGAAAGGATGCTGCTAAATATATGTGCCCACTACAAATGATAAATTGTGTGTCAGAAGTGATTCTTAATACATATAAACTTTCATTTCTTCCACAACATTCTATTACTGTTTAGCATAAAGACCCTTGGAAAAGCACTCTGAACACATTAGCCATACTTCCAAGCTCAGGTCAATAGCTGTGATTTTATCAGATTGTCACTTGACAGCTACTTCTCTGTTCATAAACCATATTGTCATCATCAGCACTAAGTGCTTCGCCAGCTCATTCCAACCTTTATTGACTCTATCCATAGACCAGTTATTGGCTTCTTTAACTCAGTTATTGGCCTTATTATCAGACATAAGTTACAGCCCGCAATAAAATTATGACTACCGATTTCTCTTTAGAGATTTAAAATTGCACATGAGTGGTTTGAACAGCATTATTCTTGTACAAACTTCTTACGTCCCTGTTTAAACAATTTTTAAATTAATAGTAATGCGACAAACCATCAACCATAAGATGATAGAATGTATGGTCATTAACATGAGGAACGTCTAAGTTGAGAGCTACAAATTAGAGACATCACAATAAAATATGTACAGAAATGTAACTATCTGGGAAGTATTATAACAGACGATGGAAAATGTAACAGAAATCTGAATGTACATTGGAATAGCAAAAATGCTTTCCATAATCTCTACAAAGTATTAAGAAACAGGAAAAATTCATTGTATGCAACTGTTCTCAGCTGTTACGTAATGTCAGTCCTCCTATATGGCAATGAATTTTGAACTATTTTCTCACAGATGAAGGGGAGAATGAAGACTACAGAAAGATCCTACAAATATCATGGGCAGCACATCTGAACAATGAGGAAGTTTTAATGAAGATTGGGACGGGGGACACTTTCTCTTTAGTATCAGAAAGCAACAGTTGAATTTTATAGGACTCATAATGAGGAAAGAGATTTGGTGAATCTAATACTCACAGGATATATTAAAGGCATAAGGAAAAAGCAATTAACCTACCTAGCAAACTTGTGTATACGGATGGTAGACCAGGGATTAAAGAGATCATAAGAGAACAAATACAGCTTACAGCTTCTTTCTTTTCTTTTTTTTTTTTGTTTTAATTATATTACCCTCAAGCAAGGCGGATATGCCACTTGTACGTAGAGGACTCTAGGAAGTGACAATGAAAGAAAAAACTGAGTCTAGGGAGGATTGAGAGAAGGACAAAAGATGAATGGGATTCAAGAAGACAGAAGATGGTGATTGACATCACATTTTGTTATACTGGAACACACCTATTCTATTGTTAATAGACTCTCCCACCTATAATAAGTAGGAGTAGTAGCAGTCGCCAGGGGGCTCAGTGGAGTTGGTCAGTCAGTCGATGTTGGACATTAAAGTATCAACCACCACAACTAGATTGCTACGTCATTAACTATTATATCAAGTTCCTAACGTTTTGTACGTCAAACCTTTTTAGGACCGACTTAGTGAAATACAAGCCTCCACTGTGAAACTACTCTATAACACATTTAAATTTTTGAAGATTGTAGTTATCAGGGAAGCAAGTAAATGGAAGGGATTTCCACAAGTGGGAAGTCGAGAAAAGAAACTGTTGGAGTTGAAGTGGCATTTGCATTTAGCTATTTCAACAGTAAATGGATGGGATATTGTGGAGAGCCATGATTTCCCAACATTTCTTTCTGATATTTTGTTTTATTTTTCTTTGTTTCATTTGATTTTTGTGTTTTGTTTTTCCTTCCAAGTTGGCAGTTTATAAGTATTTTTAATCTTCTTTGTTACAGGGAAAATTGTTAAATCTGTGCCAATGAAATTAGTGAAAGAGGTAAGGCCAACTTTTCTGTCTTTTTATTTTACTTATGTCTTTTAAATGATGTCCACTCTATGCAAGGCCCAAGAATGGCTTGGGGTTGAGGGTTACAGAGTTAGAGGCACAGGTTAACCTTAGACTTGAACAGGCTAAGATTGTGTGTTATTCAGTCTTGGAAGAAAGATTACTGTGAATTCAAAATGATGGGTAACCACTTCACTATCTTTCCCAAGAAGTCATAGCAATTAACATATAATAAAATGAAAGGAAATTTTTCAAGAACCATGATTGCCTATATCCTGAAAAAATGACATTTAAAAAAAGAAAATTTATTTCATCTAATTCATTTTTCCAGTTAACCTTTATCAATCTGTATGTGACTTCATTTGCTGTACAAAAGGTTTATCCTGGTGACTCTGATCCCTGAACAATAGTGTGTTTGAATTTCATAGCTATGTTGTCATATCCTACTATGGCAACAACAAACAAGTTTGAGTGAAATTAACAATAAGGTTACTGCAATTGAGAGGCCTTGAAAAAGAATCCAGTGGAAAGGACAGTAATATTAATAATGCAGAGTGCTAAAGGTTAAATTTGAATGATGTTAATTTGACTGAATCTTGTGTTGTAGGGCCTCAAGATCCACTTGAGATATAGGCTGTTTTTGAAAAAGTGTCCAGTTGTTTGTCACTTATAACATTCATTTCAACAAGATTCCTATGATTTTCATAGCAAAAACAGGCAGAAAAAGCAACTAGAGCTGATAAAATCTAAAAATAATGGATTTGAACATGTATGAGTTTTGATTAACTTTTATCACAATGGATGTGACTTCATTTACTGTACAAAAGGTTTATCCTGCCATTGAAGGTTACTCTGATTCCTGAACAATAGTGTGTTTGAATTTCATAGTTGTGTTGTCAAATCCTGCTATGGCAACAACAAACAAGTTTGAGTGGAATTAACAATAAGGATATTGCAATTGACAAGCCTTGAAAAATGTAGAGTGTGACTGAAAGGTTCAAATTTAGACATTTTAAATTATAAATTTATAATTTCTTTTTAAGTATGAACTTTTTTTTTGTTTAAAATAAAAAAAAAATCATTAATATCAAAAATGTACATATTCTGTTAAGGCACAATGATTAATCATGTTTATCTACAATACAATACAAATGTATGTTTCGTATAATTATGCAATTTCAGAAATTAATTAAAACTGTATATAGTTTATCTTCCTTGCACATTGTAAATCAGAATTATTCCAAGGTAGTTTTCATATCATTTAATATTTGGGGTGCTAGGAAAAAGAAAAATAAGAAAATTAAGTATTACATATTTAAATAGTTGCATATTTAGGTTTGTGTATAATTGTGAAATGTGGAAATTATTTTGATAAAAATTTTTAAAAAAATTATATGCTGTTCATATTTGTCAACTGTGTTGTCATTTTTCTAAAAAGATTTTTTTAATTTATCATTTATAAATTGTATTTCTATCTATGATACAAAATGAAAACTTTGTTCTAATAGTTTTTATTGCCTATATCGTAAGAGATATTGCCTGAAAAAAAAAATGCTTTGGTGCTTTCACATTGCCAATGGTCAACCCTAGCTGAGAACCATGATGTCATCTGGCATCTCACCACCAACCATGCTGTCTCCGTCTTTGAAAATACCTGCAGGGCCGCTCTCAGGGACAAGAGGCAGAAAAGGAAATACTGCAATGCTATGTCATTAAGCCCAGGCTGAACTTTCGGCTGCAACTACTGTGACCATGTATGTAGTCCCGCATTGGACTTATCAGTCACAAACGTGCCTGCAAGTGACGTGTACAAACTCCCTCCCAAGCTTCGTTTTGCGAAGCCAAGCCATGAGGATGATGATTGTAAGAGCTGAAGTTGATTAAGACAGCAGATTTGTTTTAAAGAGTTATTAAAACATCTGAATGATTTTATATTTATACAGTGTCAGTATTTGTAAGGTATGAGGTTCAGAATCATAAAAATGAAGACATTTTTTTTCTTCATGTTGTTCTCCTTGATGTTCGGATTGTCAGCTGTCACTTTTATCAGATATAAACACCTTTCATTTTTATTAAGCACTCATGACCAAAATGAAGGAGGCTAATTTATGTTAGTGTAAACTTTCTGACTCCTCCTTGCTATCTCTCTCTCTCCTTTTTATATTTAATACCCAGCAACTCTGGATACACCATTGTTTGACAAGCAATCTTGTTTTCATTTACTTCTTGAGATGATATACTGTTTTACAGGAATTTAAACTTAAAGACACTTAATATCTGGTTTGGAAGGCTGGTAAATTTACATATGATCTTTAAGTAAAACTATGCATAAAAAAAGAAATAGTTGTACTATTGTTAAACTGTCAATCTCTTTTTCATTTAATCCTCAATGGTGATAAATATGTCCACTCAGTCTTGGATCACTTTTCCTATATTGATTGTTCTAGATCTCTAGCAGTTACATTCACACTGAACAGTTTTTCAGTTTTGACAGAGTAAAGTTTTTTGGTGTTTTTTTTTCATTTTTCAAACACCTCCTTTTCCTGTGGTGTTAGCGCCGCCATGTAAAATTTTCTTCAAGATATTTGTAAGATCTTCAAGTTTGTTAAATGAGGATTAATTAAATAATGTGCAATGTATGAGCTTTTCTTTTTTTAATCATTTCACCCTAAGCAAGGCAATAAATCCACTAAGATGCAAGGGTTACTGAGTATGAGATAATATGAGAACAAAAAACATTAAGGAGAGAGAACAATAAGGCAGAAGATAACAATTGACATTGCATTTAAATTTTGGAAGATCAAAGTTGACTGGAAAGCAAAAAGACAAGAGAATTCCGCAAACAAAAAGTGTGAGAGAAGAAATTGTTAACATAGAATTTACAGTTACATCTCTAGCCATTTTGACTGTAAAATTATGAAATATTGCTGCCAATCTAGCATTGTGCTTAAATTTATAAAGTTTAGGTACCATAGAGGAAAGCTCATCAAAACAATTACCATGAAAATATTTATAGAAAAGGCAAAGAGAAGCTACATTACAGTGGAGGAAAAGTACCTGAAACCGAGATGCCAGGTAAGGACCGTTAACATTGCAGATTCTTCTTTGAATTTTATCTAAAATCTCTAAATACATAGCAAAGCACCAAACCAAATTTAGCAATATTCAATGCATGGATTAATGGTAGATTTATAAATGTATAAGATAGTTATGAAAATAAATTAGACTTTATATAGTGGAAGAAATTGTGTAAAAGTTGTTAATGAAATCTAATCCTTTTCAACTAGATGGCCAGTCTAATTAAAAATAAATATCATAATATATAAACAATCTCTTTTGTTTTATAACTGGTGCCGTTCTTTAAAACCAAGTTTTCACTTGCCAATATTTAAACCACCGTGCTCTCTCGTTTCATTTGCCTGTTTGTTGCTGTTCTATATGAACAGTTCCCCAATGGAGTGAGGCAAATCTTTTTGAATTCTTTTTATTCTCTAACTTGCATCTGAATTTCTTCCATAGCAAAGATAATCTCTTTATTAACTCAAAAAAAAAAGATCTTTCTATATGGACACATGCTATATCAGAACTGATTTTGTACATTCACTGAACTCATACATAGATTTCAGAACAAAATTTTAATCTAAGAACAGCCAAATATTCATCATGTGCATTATACTCTTGCAAAATGTCTTTGTTGTCAAATATTACATCCATCAGTTTAAGTAAATGTGACATGGCTTCCCTCTGTCTTTTCTACAAATATTTTCATGGCAACTGGTACCTTAACTACATAAATTTAAGCATGCTACTAGATTGGCAACTAGGTCTCACCACTTTACTCTTTAACTAGCTGGATGCAACCACCACTTCTACTCTAATGGTTTCTTTTCTTGCACTTCCTACCTGTGGAACTCTGTTCTCTTTATTTGCTTCCCTGATAACTATAATCTTCAAAAATTTTAATGCAATGCCAATTGCCATCTTCTAGCTTCTTGAATCCTGTTCATCTTTTGTCCTTTCTTCAATTCTCCCCATACTCAGTCTTCTCTTTCAGTTTCACAGTCTGTACCCCCCCCCGTGTACTAGTGGCACCTTGCTTGTGGTGAAATGATTAAAATAAAAAAAATGTATTCAAGAAGACAGAAGATGGTAACTGATGCCCTCTCTTAAATATTTAATCTCATTGAATTACAGTCATTGCAGTCAGACCATGACGATTTTCATCCATGAAGTGTTTTATCTAATAATTGCTTTTTGTATTAGTTCTTTTTTTATACTAATGTTCATCCAATACAAGGCCATAGAGCCACTCACGGTAGAGGATTACTGCACAGTGTTGTATAAGCATGACATAAGAAATGACAAGAAGTAACGTTCATGGGGCTTTGCAGGAAAGATATCAATTAGCTCTAGAACTGAAGAGGTCAAGATTGGAAAAAAATCCTGCCAGAAGTTTGTTCCTTAAAACAGCAGTTCTTGGTAAGAAGCTGCCCGAATGAAACTTCCTCCTTACTAATGGAATACAAAGGGAATGGGGATAATTCACTCTTGTGTATATGGCATGGCAGGTTCCAGTTATAAAAGTCAGGTCTAGTGGGACTAAGGAATGCCATGGTAAATAACGATAAAACAGTGAGTGTCACATTTTGTCTGTGTGGGGAAAAGGTGTTGTAGGGTAAAAAATGAATCATCCACAAGTCTGTGTAGATGCTTTTGGTCTCTATTAAGACAGGCAAATTAGAACTGGGCAGTTCTAACCTAGATATGGCAGCAAGACTTAATTTTGTCAGTTAATAAGAAATTCAGATATTGCCTCTTTTGCCAACTTTTGCATTTATTATATTAGTTCTACTTCCCATTTGATAGGAAGGATTGTAACTATACCTATCACTAAATAATAACATTAATTTTTTTACATTATTTACATTACTCAGACTATTGTCTTCATCTTTGTCGCCATATTTATTTCAACATTTCGTCTGTTGTATGCT